ATTCCTCAGCACCACATAAGCAAAAAGGAAAAAGCTGGAAGTGGTGCTGTGGCTCAAGTGGTAGAGCGCTAGCCTTGAGCTGAGCAGCTGAGGGACAGCGCCTGGAGGCCAGAGTTCAGGCCCCACAACCAGACCCCAAAAAAAAAAATTGAGCCCAGGGCCACTGATCCCGAGTGCTACTCCCTCACACTGGCTCCTGAATGCTGCCACCAGCCTGGTCCTTATAGGGTATGAATAGAAGGTTCAACTTGGGTGACTGAAATCATATGCTACATGTTGTAGGAAATTGGAGGGCTAAGATCATGTCAGAAGTGAAGGAAATGGAATAGGTATATATCAAGTACTCAAGTGGCAGGAAGTGTTACAGAGAAACTTACTGTGGCGATGCAGTAGGGAATGTTGTTTTTACAGCCGGGACAGAGGAGTTCACATTCTGGGAGGAGAAACTGGCAGAAAGGACATGGGGTCGTGGTCTCTTCTGTCTCTGTCGTGTAAGGTCTCCTGTGAGAACGCATTACGCGTCATTTAGAAACACCAGTTTGGGCGCTTGGTAGCTCAGGTCTGCAATCCTAGCTACTCAGGAGGCTGAGATCTGAGGAGTGATATCCAAAGCCAGCCCAGGAAGGTAAGCCTTCAGTTAACCACCAAAAAGCCAAAGTGGAGCTGTGGCTTAAGTGCTAGAGTGCCAGTCCTAAGTGGAAAAGTTGAAGGACAGTGCTCAGGACCAGAACCAAAAGGAGAAAAAAAAGACCACCTCATTTCACATAACGTGGCTTAGGGAGAAGGCACATTTGGTAAAGTTCATGTGATGGCCATTTCATAGCAAAACAGATAGCTCTGGCTCACCGCCAGCTGCTGGGCCAGTTTCACGGAGGAGAAAGAAGACCTAGGACTGGCAGAATTCTAGGCATCGCATGGTCCATGTTCACAAGTTAGAGGGGTTCATGAGACACTCCGAATAGCACAGAACATGCTGCTGAGTGTTGAACTTTGCATTTCTCTCTCTTCCGTGATACTTAACTGGCAAGGGCCATCTGCAGCTGTTCTAATGGAACTTTGTGACAATGGAAATGTTCTCATTCTATTCTGTCCAGTATGTCAACCATGTGTAGCCAGCCATGTGTAGCTTTTGGCGACTTGATATATGGGGAGGGTGAAAAACTGAGGCAAACTATTTATTTAACTTAAATATCAAGAGTCACATGTGGCAAGGAGGTACCATTTTGGACCACACAGCTATAGACTGGCACATGGGGAGAGAATGACAGGTCTCTTACGTCTTGTGGTGCTAGCTGTGCTGCTCTGAATAAAAAGGCAAAGGTCATTTCATCTTTTAAATTATTTCTTCCGGAGTTGGGATATGATGTCTGTAGGTGTAGCAGCTACTTTGCAACCATGAGGAGGAAAGCTCTGTGCATCAAGGGATCTTGTTCTTGGTGGCATCAGAATCCAGTGGTACCAGTCCTGGACTATGAAGCCTTGTGTATGAGTCACAGAGATCTTGACTTGTTCAAGACAGTATTGGAGTTTCTCCTGCATTATATTGAATATATTCCCTCAGTCCTGCCCCCCAAATCTATTTTCTTATTGAGCCTGTGACTTAGCTCTATCTAATCAAGTGTGCCCTGGGAACTCCGGTTAGACAGTAGAAGTGGCAGTGTTGGCCTACCTGACCATTCCCTCGATCTTCTTTTTGTATTTAGCATCGATTTTGTTGCGGTACTCAGGCCTCATCAACATAGCCGCAAAGCTGAAAGCAGAGTTCCTCAGGCCTGCCCTGTGGCACTCGATCACTGTGGAGGTCAGGATTGGCACAATGTCTGCAACAGAAAGAGCGGGGAGCGCCATGGCTGCGGCCCTCAGTGACGCAGGCACAGCTGCATCCAGTTCTGCAGGAAAGCCAGACCGCTCCTCTCTGAGCGCTGCACTCTGCAAAGACCCAGAGGATCTTTGTCTTCAAGAAGGATGGGCTGGGAGAGCGGGGGAGGATGGGATGGGAAGGGGAAACAAAGGAGGAGGCAACAATGCTTGATAAGAAATGTACTCATTATCTTGCCCATGTAATTGTAACCCCTCTGTACAGTATTTT